CACACACACACACAGCCTCTTCCCAATATGCGTTTTTGCAATTTACATATATGCAAAAACGCATACTGTGACGACCCCGGTGTGTATATGTGTGTGTGTGCGTCTGTCCGGATATTTCAACTCGGCACCCAAGCAAGCTCCGGCGCCGAAATTTTCCCAGTGGTTTCCCCACCCAAATGTCACTCCAGGACCGCGGTACCAACCCTCAAGCACGTCTAGGCCTCGCGTACGAGGGGGTTAAAGTTCTGGCGGGAAAACCGCTAACTCGGGAATCAGAAAAGCTAGAAAGCTGAAATTTTGAGGTTGTGTTCTCCGCCCCTATGGAAATTAAAGATTTCAAATTCAGCCCGTGGGGGTTCGTGGTTCCCGCGTACGGCCTCGTGAAAGTTTTTGGTGGGAAAATGAATAACTCCAGAACCAGGGAAGCTGGGAGGCTGAAATTTTCAGGAAATGTTCCCAACTCATCTACAGCTTCGATTTATTAAATTCACCCCCCCTCCCCCCATTATGCGTGGTGGCTACACACGGCTCCGTGAAAATTTTTGGCTGCAATTTGGGTAACTCGGGAACTAAGAAGGCTGGGAACCTGGGATTTCAAGGGGATGTTCCCTGTCCAACTATAGCGTGGATAATTAAGTTTCCGAAATTCGAGGACCAGTATGTACAAGAAGATTTTAGCTAGCGGAATTTCGAGTAATCTTATTACAGCACGGAACATTGCAAAAAAGCATGATCGCACGAGGCCCCCCAGTGCGCGTCGCCAATGATTCATCTCAAGGTCTACAAAAGCTACAGGGCTGAAACTTTGGGAACTTAATCTGCATGCACGTACGGGCCCTAATCCCCAAAATAGGCGCTCTTACACGCGTAGTACCCACGTACGGGCCCCTGAAAGTTTTTTGCGGGTAAGCCGCCAACTCGAGAATTTAAAAAGCTAGAGGACTGTACTTTTAAGAGGATATTCCCCGTCCCCCTAAGTCTCATTAAGTTCAAACCCAGACACCGGGTATGCGTGGTACCCACGTACGGGACTGTGAAATTTTTTTTTCGGGTAAGCTGCTAACTCGGAAAATTAAAAAGTTAGAAGGCTGTAATTTTAAGGGAATGTTTCCTGTCCACGTAAGTCTCAATGAGCTCAAACCCAGACACCGTGTATGCGTGGTATCCACCACGTACTAGCCCGCCAAAGTTTTCTTCGGGTAAGTTGTTGACTTGGGAATCTGAGAGAAGCTAGAAGACTGGAATTTTGAAGGGATGTTTCCTAACAGTCTTGGCGGCCAGTCTGAAATTCTTTTAGCTAGAAGCATCTGCTGGAAAAAACAGTGCCGTTGTCGACAAAAGTCTGCGGGGAGATACGCAAAAAGCGCACCTTCGCACGGGTAACCCGTGCGTTGGCCAATTATTTGAGTTCGGTTTCGAACTGCGGGAAATTGTAATTTCGATTTTTATGCGTTTTTTGCTGTGCAACAGCAGTACAAAATAGATAGAAGGGTATGGTAAGATTCGAGTCTAATATTTCATGTGAAATAAGCTAATGCCCATGGAGGACGAGCGGAGGGAGGGGGGGGGGGGGGGGGGGG